TCATCATCATCTATTTACCTAATTATCATCACCTTTCTATCATCACCTATCTCTCATCATTTTATTTCATCACACACCAACTATTTCATCTACCTATGTTTCATCCGTAACATATTTGTAGATATAAAATAAATATACCGTTTAAATCTTTTAAAGCATGTATAAAATTGTTCATCCAGCATAGACAGCAAGTATTCAAATAATATACACACATAACACGTAATTTATATAAAATACTTCATATCTATGTGTAAGATGAAAGTAACTATATATACCATAAAAATCCCATAAATGCTTCCTAACTTCAAACCCCAAGGTTTACTCTACTAAAGCTTCATATTCTCGGCTCTCTGGACCTAGAAGGGTCCAGATCAATAACAAAAACTTGCAAGAGGGGTTTGAGGCATTCAAAACCCCAAAGATGAAGTGATTCAAGCCCTAACCCCAAATGGAATCTACACAATAGGGAAGGAAAAGGGTTCATTTTTGTACCTCATAATGAAGCTCCTTGCTTGAATAACTCAGAACAATAACTTTCCTTGGTCCCTCTTGTTGGAACTCTTCTCCTTTCTTGCAAAATCACACCAAAAAGCTCAAGATAGCTCTTCTCTCATTCTACACACTCAAGCTCGCTAGGGTTCTCACTTATGGGAAAGGTAGTCGCAATTGAAGGCCATAAGTGCCTTTAAATATGGCTCGGGCCCAAATATTTAGGGTTTCTGCCAACAGTGCGGACTCGTCGAGTCGCCTCACCGACTCGTCGAGTCCATTCAATAATCTGAGTCATCAGTCGCGACCTTACTCGACGAGTTGAGGCGTCAACTCGTCGAGTCTCTCTTCTTAACTCAAAAGAAAAATACTTAAATTATGATACCTGGAAATCTGGATGTTACATTTTGTTTTTTTATTTCATAGATTTCTTCATCAACAAATGTTCCTACAATTAAACAAAAATAAATAATTTGCTAAAACATAATACAATAGAAAGTTTGTTCACATTTAGTCATTGAACTTTTTAGAGGGAAACGAACTTTCGATTTTGTTCACATTTAGTCACTAAGCTTTTTTTCGTTATCTATTTGCCACTAAACTATTGAAATTGTTCACATTTTACCCTTATGACCGGTAACAGCCGGTCATAAGGGTAAAATGTGATCAGTTTCAATAGTTCAATGGCAAATAGATAACGAAAAAAAGTTTAGTGACTAAATGTGAACAAAGTCGAAAGTTCGTTACCCTTTCAAGTCATTATCCCTTTAAATAAAAGGTGTTCTATTTACTCTCAAAGGTGCTTGGGACCATAGAGTGATTAGTATTATTCTTGTGTTTCACGTTGCATGTTTTGACTTCCAGAATAACTAGGTTATTCTTTCCGAATGACTAAGTTATTCAAACCATCCACAATCGATAATACGTTGGAAGTAGGTATTAAGGCAAGACTGTCATGAATCGGGTTTGTAGATGTCCAAGGTAGTGGACATAGTAAGAGTTACTACAACATTAATGAGTACTCCTGGAATAGGGATTTGAGTATTGGATTCAACCCACGCTCACTTGAATCACTTCATGGATTTTATCACGAGTGATCGTGAGACGATAATATCTTATATTCTTCAAACCTAGAGATATGACTTGTTGCCTATGAGTTGTACATTGATTGCACGTAAACGCATTTGGTAACTCGATGTTATAAAACGTGCCTTTGTGTATGATTCAACAAGTAGTAGAACAAGCATATGAGTCGAAGTTTATCCATTCCTTTTACCCTTGGAGGGATAAAAGCGATATCTGTGGGCCCCTCGATGATTTGGTGATGACAAACGTAAGTGCTCGGCCGGGCCTGGACTGATTTGATTTGTTCAATTAGTCAGTCGTCATAAATCGGAAATCGGGAAACAACAAATGGACAGAGAGAATGATTATAATCCATGTCTCAGTCCATATGATATCTAGAATGGAGGAATATATGATCCCTTATCTAATGGACGCGTCATTGATTTGTTTAGAGTTCGACAGCGGCTTTAAGAGCTACGATTGCTGGTCGGGTTTTGGAGTCATACGCAATAATAGTTTTAGACTTATCCAAGTGGGAGATTGTTGGATTAGGTGTCTAAGCCCATAACTATTATTGGTATGTATTCGACCCGAGAGTAGCATGGTCCATTTGGGTTGCATATCATCAGGACAATTTGTTAGGATGGACTTTTGAGAGAAGAGGTTATATATGATTTATTAATATATTATAAGTTCTATGAAGTCATATGTTTTAAATAGTATTGATCAAGAATTAATTTGGAATTAATTTAGTGATCAAAAGAGACTAATTAAAACTATGGGGACTAATTATGGTAATTAGTTATATTTATATGTGTTGGGCTTATGATCCATGTTGGACCAAGTTTATGTATGGATACATAAAGAGTTGGGCCACATGAACCATGGATCATAAGATCCATGGATATGGGTTTGGGTTATACCCATGACTCTTAGAATTAAACACATATAAATACATATGTTATGACCTAAAACCGAAACCTCCTAGCCACCCTAGTGTGTGTGTGCATGTTCTTGGAGTTCATGAAGGTTTTAGAGTGCATGGAGATTCTCTCTCAAGTCCTACCTTTGTCCTTGATGTGTTGTGACTTCATTTGAGGCTTCCACACTATTGGGGCTAAGTTCTTAAGGCCAAATACATCAAGACTTCCAGCCACACAAAAAGGTATGTTACACTATCTAGTATTTTATGTAGTTTGTATGACAATTGCATGCTAGCTATAGGTTCAATACCTTGGAAACCATTTGCATGGATAATTAGTGAAAACATAGATCCAAGGTATTTAGGGTTGTATGTGCACCATAGGATGTTGTATTATACCAAAACCCAACACATTTACCATGCTCTAACATCATCAACTTCATTGTTAAGGGTGTCCATATCTCTTCTGACCCTCTTGTGTAGCTCGCGCATGTCATTAACAACCTCCTCATTGATCAATGACACCTCCAACTGTGTTTGGAGAAGGCTGATGGCCATGTCTTCTTCTATGACTCCGTTAGACCCGCTCTCCTCTAAGTGACGTCGGTTACTAAACGACCGACTGTTAGGGGGAGATGCAGAAAGTGTACGAAAGTTTGGATTTTTGCCATTTTAGGGCGCAGGCTTGTAGTTTTATACGAAGGCGGCAATGAATAGTTCTAACTTCGGCCCTACGATTCATACACAAAACAATGTCGTTTGGGTAACCCGTAACAATTACATGGTTGTCATGTCATATCTGATGTGTCAACTAATGTGGATGTGACACGCTAACCAGGTATAACAAATCTAAGAGACTAAATTGACAAGTTGCCAACCATTTTGTTCTCTCAGAAAATTCATAGGACATTTATGTCATTTTCCTATATAAATATATAACAATAACAATTAGATAAATAAAAATATATATTCCCCGTATAAATATATAACAATAACAACTAGCATGAATCAAGTGTGCGCCTTTGGCGCTGTCTTGCATGTAAGTGATGATAAATATTTATGTGGATATTGTCAATCGATAGTTCGATGTTATGTGGATTGGAGGGTTGTGGGTTAATTGTTTATGTGAGGTATGTTACTTTGTAATATAGCATTTATTTATATACTGATATGGAGGTTATTCCACTTCACAAGACCTGAACAAACTTTTGTTGGAGGAAAATATAGAAACGAACGCAGCATAAACATAAAGGAAATAGACATAGAGAAACATAAAAGCAATGTCGACGTCTAGTCATCAGTTGTATGTTTGATTGTGCGTTTGTACTTTCCATGGTGAAGCCTTCTTGTAATTTCGTCTCAGCTGCTTCAATAAGATCTGCTACTTCCCGAATGCAAGCAATGAGTGAGAGGAGCACGTTGTGGAGTTGTTGGTTGTTCATCTTTTAGGTTTTCGCCTTCAGATAAGTAATGTGGTTATTGTACGTGTTTGAGATGTTGGGTTTTCTATAGAACTTGCTAAAGGAGCAGGGGGAGGGGAGGACGAGGGGGTTATGGGTGTGGTTAATCAGTGACGTGCATGTATCTAAATTTCTCTGTGTGACATTGCTGTCATAGTAGGTTAAATAAGTCATTTCATGCAATTGTATTTAGGATATGAGGTGGCCTGTTTTGGTGGTGTTAGTTATACAACTTATATTTGCCTATGCTAGATATGGTCTGAAAGAAGCATGAAGACGGTGCCCACAATGTGGAGCTTTCTTTTTGTGTGTGTATATGATTAAAATACTTGTTATTAAAATTATTGTGGTTGAAGATGGTCTTTTTAATAATGTATATATAACCAATAAGAAACGGAAGGTAGAGGCGGTGAGTGAAATTGCAAATACAAGGTAATTTGGTGCCGAATATATGAATGTACAAACTATATTGTTAACCAAGTTGTTTGTGAATTATTATATGATAAATTAAATAGTCTCCTACTTTTTGTTCCTATTATCCTCCTACCTATTTTAGATGGTAACAAGTGTTATTAAATTTAATTTAAATTTGATTGAGATTTTGAATTTGTACACTTATCATCATCTTAAATAGGTAGGAAAAAAAGTATGAACAAAATGTAGGATGATATTTAATTTCTCTTATTATATATATAAATTATTGGGGTTGAAGTGGGTTGTTTTTAATAATTTATATATAACAAAAAAGAAACTGAAGGTAAAGGCGGTGGGTGAAATTGAAAATACAAGGTAATTTGGTGCCAAAAATATGAATGTACAAACTTTACTGTTAACCAAGTCGGTTTTGAATTAATATATATATATATATATATATATATATATATATATATATATATATATATATATAATATAATGAGATAAATAGAAAAAATATATTTCTTTTTATACACCTATATAAAAAAACGAATGTTAAAACACATATTCAAATTTCAAAATACATTGTTGTGCCGTTAGACAACAAGAGAGTCGGTCTCCTCAACGGCTGTATAAAATCCACGCCATTTCTTCTTCGTCTGAAAGCCTTTTTTATTCTGACGATTCTTCTTTCTTCGAGAGAGATAGAGAGAGATGGAGTCCACCAAAACTGCAATGGAGGCCTTCGAGAAGCTAGAGAAGGTCGGAGAAGGAACCTATGGCAAAGTATACAGAGCCAGAGAGAGAGCCACCGGAAGAATCATCGCCCTTAAGAAAACCAAACTTCATGAAGACGATGAAGGCGTCCCCCCAACAACGCTTCGAGAGATCTCGATCTTGCGAATGCTCTCCCGTGATCCTCATGTCGTCAAGTATTTTTTCGATTTCATTTTCCTACTACCACTAGGGTTTTGAAATTTGATGATTCCGCAACTGGTTTTCCATTTTGATTATTCTAACGGGAATTTTGATTTGTAATCTATTGATTTGAATCACTCTTCTTTGGGTTTTAGGTTATATTATGAGTATCCGATTTATGTTTCTATCTATGATTTTTTAGTAATCAAATCGAAATGGTATTGATTCGTTCTGGATTTGACTGCCATTAACGAAATCAAACAGGCTGTTGGATGTGAAGCAAGGTGTAAACAAAGATGGGAAGACAGTCCTCTACTTGGTCTTCGAGTACATGGAAACCGATTTAAAGAAATTCATCAGATCATTTCGGCAAACTGGTGAAAACATTCAACCCAACGTCGTCAAGGTAAAAATCGTCTTAACATCCCACTTCCCATTCTTTATTTTCTTCTTTGATTTCATCAATAATCTTATCATGTAACGTTTTGTGCTGTTTAATGCAGTGCTTGATGTACCAGCTTTGTAAGGGGGTTGCTTTCTGCCATGCCCATGGTGTATTACACAGGTACATAAGATCTTTTTCTCTTTCTTGAAAATTCAAAAAGAATCTTTCTGATTTCTTTTCTCATTTGTTTTAGGGATCTTAAGCCCCACAATCTCTTGATGGACAAAAAGACATTGATACTTAAAATAGCAGACCTTGGACTTGCTAGAGCTTTTACTCTACCAATCAAGAAGTATACTCATGAGGTATAACAAAATGGTTAAATCTGTTAAAAAGTTAATTACAAGTTTGCTAAATAACTTGTATCATTTCAGATATTAACCCTTTGGTATAGAGCTCCAGAAGTCCTTTTGGGTGCTACTCATTATTCAACAGCTGTTGACATGTGGTCTGTTGGCTGCATATTTGGTATTCCTTCTTTCTGAATTAATTAAGTCCTTTATGTATTAAGTCAAAAAAAAAAAAAAACACTAATTTGTTCTTCAAATTTGAAGCTGAACTAGTCACAAAAACTGCTCTTTTTGCTGGTGATTCAGAGCTTCAACAGCTCCTGCATATTTTCAGGTCCATATTTCATAACAAGATTATAATTTCTCATTGTTTAAATAATTAAATTCTTGATTATTATTATTGTGATATTTATGAATATTCAGATTGTTGGGTACTCCAAATGAAGAAATCTGGCCAGGAGTTAGCAAGCTTAAAGACTGGCATGAATATCCTCAATGGAAGCCTAAGCCAATTTCAACCTGTGTGCCAAATCTTGATGACGATGGGCTTAATCTTCTTTCGGTAATTAAATATAAATTTAACTTCTTTTTTATTAACCAATTTTTATAAACTTTGATATATTGTTGTTATTTGGGCAGCAAATGTTGGAGTATGAGCCATCAAAACGGATTTCTGCAAAGAAGGCAATGGAGCATCCGTATTTTGATGATCTGGTGGACAAGACCCATTTATGAAGTTCTTGTCGTTGCTTATCTCGAGCATAATTCATTTTTTTTTTGAAAGTTTTTGATAGATAACAAAATGTCAACATGTTGTTTCATTCTATTTGTTATACAATTTTCTTCAGATTCTAATGCAAAATAATATGTTATTGATCTGCAATTAATTTGGCCTTGGAATCGCATCAACTAAACTACGCATTAAAATAGAACTAGAAAATATCTTTAATATGATAACATATTCTTTTTTATTAGTATATTTACTTTACAATAATAATTTATGCTATAAAAATCAGTTACTCCTCTAGATAGTTCAAATGAAGAGAACAACTAGTCTAAGATTTCATAGTCCCCTATTGACATCCCAAACCTAGTTTACTAAGTTAAGTCAAATCCATGCTCAATGTCCATAATTGGCAAATTGACCCCTTAACATTCAAATTTTCAAATAAACCCAAAATGACTTTTTAATTAACATTTCTAGTCTTATAATATATCTTCTAATTCAACTTTAAATGATAAAAACACTTTCGAATAAGTTTATATCCTAATTAAATCGGTTTACTCATGTATCATTCCTTAATTCCCAATTGTAAAGCTTTCAACTTTAACTTTCCTCAACAAATTGAAATTTTAATTTAGACATTTCTAATCTAACTAACTTTGAAAAAAAAAATTAATTAATTATTTCCATTTGCTTTAGAGAAAACTACAAAAAAAGGTCCATGGGGATTGCATTTTTCTTTGACAAGGTTTAAAAATGTTTCATATTACAAAAATTATCATTATTTGATGGTTTCATTGTGGATTTGGTCCATTAAATCTTTGTAGAATGATAATTTGTCCCTCTAGTTTTATATTTTTATTATTAATAATAATATTATCAATATCTTATTAGCATAAAAAGAAAAGTTAACACCAATACCCAGCCCCACGATCCTCTCATATTTTCTTTCTTGTGTCGTCCCCCTCTTATTTCCTTACATCTTATTCCCGAGTTCAATTTAACGAAAGAAAATAAGAAAATTTGATAGAAGTGAGAAGAAAGCAAAAAGAAAAAAAAAAGTGTTCCTCAATTTCACTAATGGAAATGAAAAAAAAATGGAAGGAAAACTTTCCCTCCAAACTTTCATTTCTATTTAGAAGGATTTCGAGAGAAATGAACACAATGTTTAATTTTTCTTTAACTTCTCTTCAACTCGTTAACACACAATACAATTTTCTTGTACTTTTCTTTGTCTTCATACTTTCTCTCCCCTTCTTTTCTTTTCTTTGCTAAAACACGGAAACTAGGCGTTACCTTTCCATCCCTAAAATATAACCATCGGTGACATACATGCTCTCCATCCCTAACATATAACCATCATCCCCCCCCCACCAAAAAAAAAAAAAAAAAAAACAACCCTCATCTCTGATTAACTCACATCGATGACACCCGCTGCTCCGTCGATCAAATCACCGACATTACCGGCCCGTTTCGTTTTCTCTGGCCATGGCTTCGTCGTATCCCTTTCTTCTCCGACTACATTAACTAGATGTTAGGGTTTTTTTTCTCTTTTTGTTCTAGAGCATCAAAAGTTGACGAACATTATATTGTAAATGAGTATCAAGGATCATTCCCAAACCCAAATCTCAGAGTTGAGTATCAACCCTCAAAATTTTGTGTTTCTCTCTTTATGAATGTGTGTAATCGGATGAATGGGTGTAGAAAGTTTGTGAAGAATGTAATTGGGAAGATAGTTATAAGGTGAGTAGGGGTGCAAACGAGCCAATCTACTCGTGAGCTACTCGAGATCGGCTTGTTGAAAGCTCGACTCGAAGCCGATTTTAAACGAGCCTAAACCAATATTGATCTTAATATTAAGCTCGTTTGTTAAACGAGCTCGAGCTCGAGCCTATGTCACTAAGCTTGATTAGGTTCGCGAGCCTAAACGACCATATATATAATATAATTTATTATTATTTTTATATATTAAAATTAAAACATATTTAGGGGATTAGGGATTTAGGATATTAGTAAACGAGTTTGAACTGAGCTTAAGCTTATTTAGGTTCATTAGACAACAAACGAGCTAAGTCTGAGCCCGAGTCGAGCTTGTATAATTCTTTATGAGCTCGAGCCGAGCTCAGTATAATAAAGCTCGAATCGAGCCGAGCTCGAGCTCGAGCCCCGTATAACTTAAACGAGCCCGAGCTGAGCCTGGCCAGGCTCGGGATCGGCTTGGCTCGTTTACATCCCTAAAGGTGAGGAAGGATATGGTCAATAAAGAAAAGAGAAATAGGTTCATTGAAGAAGACAAACGGGATGAGATAGAACTAGGTGGGTATAGAAACATTATAAAAGGTAGCTGGGAATATGGAGATACACATACTAGATCGTCGATGCCACCACTATGTTTCCATAGATTTAAATTCAAGCTTCCTAGTAGTGATGGACTGAACCTTCTTTTATACTACATAAACAAGTGAATATTCATGTGTTGTGCATAATGAAACTATATAATTAACTTTTTGCATATACATGTTGAAAATAATAATACATTAACTATAAAATAATAACCATAACACTACGATGTTATATAAATTTGTAATTACTTTGAACCATATTATAAAATATACATATATCATTGTCACAACTAGGAATTTTGACGCCTTGTAACAACAACAATGATAACATTTGTAAACCAACAATGTGAAAGCATGCATGATGCTTATTCAATAACAACAAAACTTCAATCCAACACTTTATTCAAGCACTACAAATAGTCAACAAAGAATTGGAAGCCCTAGAAATCCCGGTTTAAGTCGATTTTGGACTAGGATTTCCTTATTGGGCCTAATGGACCAATAAGCTTCCAATTTAACTATCTTGAACATAGAACTCTCAAATGGGCCCTAATTGGACCCATATACATGAAACTTAATATTCTGGGCCTTATAAGACTAAAATGAACTAGGTTAACTTTAATGGGCCTTATTGGGCCACAACAAATTTGTATAGCCTTAATGAATCATAAAAATCATTTCTTGATTTATTTTGGGCCGAAAATCACCTAATTGGATCATAATATGGGCTTAAGCATTAAAGGGCCCAATCTCTCTTCTTTCTTCTCCTCTTCTCGGCCCAACAACACAAAGGGGGAAGGAGTTGACTTTAGGATTGCCACCTCATTATTATATGTTGGTCTTCCATGCACCAACACATACTTCCATGCACACATCACTTCACTCACTTCTCTTCCTCTCTCTTTTCTATCCTCGGCCGAGAACCACAAAGGAAAAACACACACACATTCACTCAAACACTCTCAAAGAACTCTCTTCATTCTTCATCAAATTTTCGAGATCTAAGGGCTTTTCAAGGAGATTATTCCACAAAATTCATCATTTAAGGTAAGTTGATGTTTAATCTATGATCTAACTACTTCATTTAATCAAAAACCTCCTCCTAATCTATTCAAACTCGTGATCACCATCTTAGAAGCCTCTAAGTTCGAGATCTTCCAAGAAGACTTGTTATGATCAAAACTTTCTTCATTTCTTCCTTCTAAACCGAAAACAACAAGCAAAGGTGAACTTCATACCCCTCTTTTTTCGGTTTTTATATGTTTTATGGGGGAAAATACAAGAAAATGTGTAGATCTATGTGTATGTGTATGTTATGTATGATTTTATGCATGTATGTGTGATTTTATGTGTTTTTGTGATGAACATGTAACCACAAGGGAAGATATCTCGAGATCTATGACATAATAAGTAAATCAAACATAATCTAAGTTATTTTGCACTAAACAAGTCAAGAATAATAACTTATAAGATTGTGATAAATATATTTCACCACAAAACTCATTTTTGGGCTTAAATTGTCAAAAATACAAAAGTTGGGTTAAAAATTGCCAAATCACGGTTTCTTAAAGGTCAAAAGAATCAAAACAGTTACAATAATTGTTTTTATGAACATTATAACCTCCAAAGGACTTAAAATGTAAATATTAGCTTAATGGGCTAAATTTTGGGCTTTTCGGCCCAATAAACCCAAAGTTGCGAAAATATGACATTTAAAGGGGCTGAAGTGGCAATTTCTTCAAAACAGGGGATAAAAAGTGTAACAAAACTATTTCAAGGGTTAAAAATGCTTTTCATTTTCAAAAAGGATCAAAAATTTAAAGTTTTTGGATTTGGGGCAAAAATTGTAAAAATTGCAAAAAGTTGGGCTTTAACCGAAAAATACTATTCTGGAAGGGCTGAAACTGCCAAAGTATAAGTCTTGAGTCAAAAATATCATTTAAACAAGTCTATGATGCAAAAGTGTCAAGAAAATGTTTTAAGGGCTTAAAATGTCTTTTCTTTTATATAAAGGATTAAAAATGTTATTTTTATAAAAGAAAGGGGTTGAAAAGGCCAGACCACTATTTCTAAGTAAATTAATTCATTTAAAGAGTATCGAGCCAAAAATACTAACTACGACTTACGAAAAATTGTAAGATGAATACACGCATAAATCCAAATATCGTTGTAAACAAATCCACCGGTCTCGAGTCGATACAAAAACAACAATCGTTCAATCGAACCCTCCAGTAGTTATGCGATACCTAAGACGAGTAAACATTCGACACTTGGGCATGAAAGTTTCAAATCATGCTTGTTGGACCTTGCAAATCCATTAACATGATCTTTGGGGCCCAAGGGAAAATGATTATATGTTATTGGGCCTCCTATGACCCAATTCCATATAAAGGGACCTTCAATGGCTTTTATGTGCTATTGGGCCCTAGTGGTCCATTAGTATTGCTAGTAAGGTCAAAGTAATCAAATGCAAGATGGGCCAACGTGTTCTTCGCATCCCCGACAGCCTAAAGTAACTCACGAAAGTGGTAGGACTTCATACTCCTCTTCTCTCGTTTGCTAAGGCTTGCGAGTAATCAAGTAAACAGACTCAGGTCGTTAACCAATAATAATCAAGGTGGTTTAGATTAAGTGAGTAATAACGGACGGCACCTCTAAGGGTCGTTTGTAGTTGGTAGTTATAACCAGTCATTATCAGGCATAGTTATAACGAGTCACTAGAATTGATAATCTCCGACACCACCCGAGTAATCAAGGAAGAGTAATCAAAAATCATTCGTTGTGGCGGTATAGAAATTAGTAATCAAGTATATCTTTCGTCATCGGAAAACATCGGGTTTTTCGGGGAATTCAACAACACTCGCTCGTAATCTAAATAATTGTAATACAAAACTCCCTTTTTATACACGTTATGAAATCATTCATGCATCAACTTATGGATCTTCACACTTTGATAAACTATTGTCTTTTCAAAAAATATCGGATTTTCTGGGTTTTACAAACTACACAAATCATTTTTATCACAACATTGCTTATGAACTCACCAACATTACATATGTTGACGTTTTCCAAAATAACTTGTATTCTCAGGTAACAGGTAAGCGGAAGGGTAATATCAAGTAATGTTAGGATGTTATGTTTTTGAAAACTCTCAAACAATTTATGTTATGAATGTGTAATATTTAAAACAATGTACTGGATGTAAACAATACCAGTTGTAATGTATTGATGCATGGTGATGTTTATGTTATGATTCATGTATATTCATTGTGATGATATTCAATTTAAGTCACGCGAGCCCCCGGACGTTTCCGCCGTCTGGTTTCGGGGGTGTGACAATCATAATCATATCATTCAATAACATCTACCGACAATTTTTGTTTAAATGAAACTAAACATGGTTTTTAATTTAGTATTACAATTTAACGTTATGATTGATTAATTTAGAAATGACTTATCTATTGATTTTTCTTTTTTTATTTCGATATGATGATTAATTGATATACAAACCATTGTATGTAAGTTAACACAATGTATTTTTTTCTGTTAATTAATTAAAAGCCATTTATTTAGAAAAACTAAATTATAATAAAAAAAAAACAATTTTTTGATATTTTTTATTTAATTTGATTTACCGTTCTACATTTATAATATTTAAACTTTTTTTTAACTATTTTGAAAAATAGTATTTAAATATATTTTTCAGTTTATTTAATATTTTGATTTATGTCTTGGATTTAATATAATATTTATATTAACAAGTAAGTGTTATGATAATCATTTTAAAAGTCTACCAATAGTAAGATAATAATTTGCATTTAATAATATATGTTAAATTAATAAATTAATTTTATTAAATTGATAATTAAAATGTTATTGAGGTTTCAGATGCATAATATAATAGAAAAAATGTCTCATTTATGGTGTAGTATATGATTCTTTGTGAAATATATAAATTTGATTCCAATATATAGGTACATTTAAAGCTTTGGTCCCTCATGTAGTTACCATACTTTGTTAAATGCATATGAAATGACAATATTACTCATAAATTTATCATTTTTTGATTTTTGATTTTTTATTATTTAACTTTTTATTATAATGAAATGACAACCGTACTTTCACATCCAATCTTAAAACCACCACTTACCCTACCAACCACAATTGACTTCGTGATTGAACCACTATTGACACCACCAGCCCCACTACTATTATCGCCATCGTCCCCACCATCACCATCACCAATCACCATCCACCACTAATATCATTACCATTATGAAATTAATTTCACTAAACCAAAATTAGGACCAAATTAAAATCCTAGCTTACAAATCAAAATCTGAAATGTAAATGACAACTCTAATCAAATCAAAATTTGGAAGGACAAAATTTAAAATCAAAAATTAAAGAGATATATGTGTTAGGTTATGCCGACATTTGCAGGTGAAACATAAAGAGGGTGATTAGAGGTAAATGGGAGAGAAATTAAGGTGAAATGATGATAGTCGGAGTTGCTAGATGGTTTTGCTCTTTGGTCTTGTTCATATTTGAGTTCCCGAGTGGGAGAGACATATATGGGAGAGGTCGTCGTCAGAGGCCAACATCACTGTCGAATTTTACAACGAATGTCAACGATGGGAAGAATGCTAAAGATGATGATCGGTTGACAGTGAGTGAAGAAGGAGGATGCGTTGAGGCTTAATCGTTGTTAACGTTGGGTGGGTGAAAGATAGGTTTACTTCGGCTTTTCATTTATTTACACAAATGATCTATGATGTTTATAAATGAACTAAATTAGAAATGACAAAACATGGGTAACTTTGTCATTTCATACTCATTTAACGATGAGTGTTAATCGGTAATCGGGAAAATGACAAAATGTTATGTATAAGATTGTGCGGCATACCGACAAAGGCTCACACAACCACATCAACACCAAGATTCTTCTTCTCTCTACCACTGGCATATGGGGTGGTGTTCAAGCGTGAAGTAGTTTCTACTAGTTCAAGAATGAGACAATTTGAAAAGGAAGAATGTGAAACCTATATGACAAATCATGACAATGGCCACGATTCACCACGCCAATAAGGAGGGGGTGGTGTTTGCATACTATAACGCGTGCTACGTAGGCTCCATCCACTCGATATTACGAGTACACCTCATAGCCTAATGAGACCATGAGGACCATTCATATTAGGTTTTTTTTTGTATAGGACCAAAACGGCATAAATATGCATTCCTAAGGACCAAACTGTAATTTACTCTCAATGTTACTTTTATTTTTATTAATAACTTTGTTTTATTTCTGAAACTGCAACGATGAGATGAGAGCAGTCTTACGTAAGTTCTATGCTTTTGGAAATCTATTTTCGTCGGTATTTAAAATTTGTTTAATTGTTTATTATTATTTTTTTTAAAATATATAAACATGTTATATAATTTAATTTTACTATGATAATTAAAACATGTTTAATCTTTAAGTCAAATATTCTGAAAAAGAAATTTTACTAAACATTTTTATGAAATAAAATTGATTATCAAAATATTTTAACATGAAATATATGGGTAATTTTGACATTTTAAGGTAATCAATTATATATCCAGGTGGCTTTGTGAGGGAGACTCGTTCTCTTATTTGACGAAGAAACCGCAGACGGAAGCAGACACAAATGCTAACACCACCGCCGTGCCTCTAAGCTGACGCTCTGCCCGGCGTTACCATTTCTGCCTCTCGACCAATCGCGCGCCCACACCTGTCCCCTTTCGCCCCTCATCGCATCTCACAGAACCTCACCACCTATAAAGAGGCGTTACGTACATAAACACACGCGTCGCCATCACTACTCTCTGTGAAACACCCAGCCAAGAACAAACCCTAGTTTTTATTCGCTTAATTTCGGTTTCATAGCAGACGAAGGTGAATTTATTTTGTGTTTCTGATAACAATGTATGTTTACATCTCAACACTTGTCGTAATTTGTTGAAACTTTTGGCGATTTGCTTTGAATTTTAGCTGCGTTAAGTGAAAATTGAAAATCCGCGAAATGCGCTCTATCAGTTCCGATTCCTTTTGTTTTCTTCGTCAAATTTTAGATATCAGTGTTCTCATTTGATGTTTAAGACTTAACAAACACTGTGCAGATTTTTGTGTTTTCTGAAGATGCAAAAACATGTGTGAACCTTTTCATTTGCTGTAAATTTTGTTTCTCAAAGTCATTCAGAATCGTTAGGAAGAAACGAACCAGGAAATACTTTGTTCATATTGTTTTTTGTCATACGTCTCAATCTGCAATGCTGATTTTGTGTTTATTGGTACCTTCTTGATGGTAGAAAGCTAGGGTTTGTGTGGGATTAGTTTTTATCACTCCCTTCGTGAGGATTTTAGAGAGGTTATTACTAGTGCCATGAATCCTGTGTTATTTAGGTTGAATATAGGCACCTTCAGTCCCAAATAAGGGTTGTTTATTTACAAATTTCATAACTATTTCCACCTTACGCTTAGAAATATGTAGTCTATATATGAAGTTACACTTCTACTCTTTTTTTTTGTAGAATTTAAATGGATGAAAGGGATGTGGAGATGGAGGACGCTGGAAAGCTTCTAGAAGATGAAGTGGTGGGTGGTGAAGAGTGTGTTGAAAAAAACCAGCTTGATGAAAAAGAAGCAGGAGACAAACAACAAGAGTCTTATGATGTTCAAAGCCCAAATGAAATTGGGACAAAGCAAGAAAAACCAAGTAAGGAAGACAAAAGTGAGGAGGAATCACCTGTGGATGAGACTCAGGTTAATGAGAAAGATACTAAATCCATGGACGATGATGATAAGATTCATGAAGGTAACAAAGATGCTACAACAATGGATGATGATAAAGTTCATGATGGTAACAAAGATGATGACAATGGTGTACTAGATGAAGCTGACCATGACCATGATGCTTTAATGAATATGCAAGAGAATAACAATGAAGGAGATGAAAAACATCAAGAGCTTGTGACTCCAACCACCCTTGTGATACAATCACCTAGCAAAGCTGAGGATCATAGTGCAGTGACACTAAAGAATGAGCTAGAGGACACAAAGGTAATTTCTCATTGAAATTAAGAAGTTCAATCGACACCTTTATTTAAGCTTCCTTTTTGTATTAAACTATTAGATGGATGAGGGCTATGAATCTGGAACTCCAGAGGATCAAGAAACATTCATGAAAGAGGTGGAAGCCATTTATAAGGAGAAAAACTTGGAATTTAAGCCTCCTAAGTTTTATGGACAACCGTTGAATTGTTTAAAGTAAGTTTTCTTTTTTCTTTTTCCAAAATTTCTTTTTATGATCTTTGGGTGAAGCCTTAGTTGTAATGTTGTGATTTTGTGGTAGGTTATGGAGGGCTGTTATCAAATTGGGTGGATATGAACGGGTATACACTCTTTATTTTTAGGTCTATTTAAGCAAGATTTAATAATAATAATAATTATTATCGTCTCCTATTATTACCTTTTATGGCGATTTTCTTTAGGTAACTGCATCCAAATGGTGGCGACAAGTAGGAGAATCTTTTCGTCCACCCAAGTAAGAACATAATAACATCTACAGTTTTTTATTTTACTTATAAACATTGATATTTTATATTTTTTATATAATTACCATGCTATTAATTCAATACATTATGTATCATGAAGGACATGCACAACCGTTTCGTGGACATTCCGCCAGTTCTATGAAAAGGTAATTACTCTTTTTATTTTTTTTCTGTTTTTAATTTTTTTTTTGCAATAATCAATTATTGAAAGTTATTATTTGTAGGCACTTCTTGAATATGAAAAGCATAAGATCCAAACTGGTGAGGTTGAACTCCCTCTAGCAACCGTATACCCAGAGGCTCCTATTGTTGAAATTGAGGTCAACTTAAATCTTAATTTCCAAATACTTTTAATTTTTATTCCACTTCATAAATTGATTTTTAAATGGCTTTTTCAGACAGTTGGTCATCAGACACCAGGGTCAGGTAGGGCCCGTAGGGATGCTGCAGCTCGAGCCATGCAAGGCTGGCATGCCCAACGTCTCCTAGGTTTTGGTGAGGTTAGTTAGTTACTTGGTCAATGAAAAAGTCAACATTATAATTTTTTTTTTACCATTTATATCGACTTTGTTTTTGTTAGGAAAAGAATTCTAACAATTCACAGAAGCGCGAAAAAAGTCTGAAAAGCATTGGTGAGTATTTTTATGAATGTTTTAGTTTTAACATTAAAAAGACCAAAATGTGTTTGTTAATATTAATTGCATAATCTTTGAGTTTATAGGGTCACTTAAACAAAAAAGACCAAGTGAAGTGCAGCATCCAGTGAAAGCTGTACGAACCGAAACATCTAGGCAGTTAAGAATCAAGTTTTTAATTGCTAATATTTGTTACTTTCTTTTAATATCATATAATAATATTTAACTGTTTATAAATACATCTGCTTGTTTTGAAATGTGATAGAGTTGTCACCACGGTTGCCGATGTGGGCCCCCCTGCTAATTGGGTGAAAATAAATGTGCGAGAAACCGTAAGTGTATTGTCACATCACACCATTTGACATTTATAACACACATTTGACTTTTGCTGACTTTATGTGTTATGTACAGAAAGATTGCTTTGAAGTGTATGCCCTAGTTCCAGGACTTCTGCGGGAAGAGGTGTGTATATATATATATGTTGATTATAAATGCTCTAGCTTTATTTTCAGCTAAAATGACTGATTTGTTCTCTCATTGACTTTTAGGTACGAGTCCAGTCTGATCCAGCTGGACGTCTAGTCATCACGGGTCAACCCGAGCAACTTGACAACCCGTGGGGCATTGCTGCTTTCAAAAAGGTCTGTTGATTATAATATATGTATAAATGGCTCTCTGTTTGTGTTTGTGTTTGTGAAAGTTATTGTGTTTGACTTTTTGACTTGTAATAATAAACAGGTGATTAGCCTACCATCAAGAATTGATCCGCTTCGTACATCAGAATTGATCCGCTTCGTACATCAGCAATTGTGAGCTTACATGGACGCCTGTTGGTTCGTGTGCCTTTTGAGCAGTCAAACATCTGATCTCATCTGATGTTTTAAAAACTGAAAAACAAGTTTTAGCCTAGGGGACATTGAATTGAAGTAGTAGGAGGCAAATATTTAGTGTTAATTACTATTATTATATATGATATGATTGGTGGTAAAAATGATTTGAGCCAAGCCAACAAGTTTAGCTTTTTCTGCTTAAGGTTAACTACCAAAGACTAGTGTGAGCAACTTAATTTTCTTTAAAATGTTGGTTGGTTTTCGTAAAGAATTTTCAACTGCACTTTGTTAGGAGAAGTCAAAACATCTTAAAATCCATATCTCAATGGCCTAAAACAAAAGCAAGTATTTTTCACATAAACTTTAGTTGCAATTAAGCAATCTTCAAGAGTCTGTTCTTTAAATAGCCAACAAGATCTCTTGTATCTTGCTAGAAATCATTATTTAGTTTGTGAAGATGACACATTATTAATATAAAACATGAACCATCACGTCTAAGTTAAATAAAATTCAACATATATGATCAGAAACAAATCTGGTAGCAAACAACACTTTGATCTTATATAGATACATACATACATATGTGTATATGTACATGTTTACATTCATGCACGTATACATGCATCTGCCAATGTGCGTATGTACATACACATGTATGGGTGTATGTATTATCACTAAAACAAGAATGAAACTTCTCATCGTAGTGTTTGTGAACTCATTCTCTTTCCATGTCCCACAAAAGCAAATTATGGTAGGTATCATTTCCCCATATCACACAATTTTCTTACACATCCTGCAACTGTTTCTCAATCAAGCTACCTCATAAAGTGTAGATAAAGTGATAGACATGTAGGAAAGTTGAACAAAGATCATTTGAAAATTGAGATGTATAATTTGTCAATTTGTGTCCTCCTCATAAGAGATTACATGGAGACATTATTACAATGCACAAGCTCTCTGCAAATATAGAATAACTATAACTCTTTCTCTCATATATTTCTTAACATAATAACACCAAAAGTTTCACAATCACTGTATACTACATCAAACCCTTCGACTGTGAAGTAAGTAACAAAATTACCTTTACCCCTCTCCCAGAATCATCTCAATCAGTTTTCAGGAGTATTACTTCGACTTTTGTTCCCATAAATGAGCCCAGTTTCCTACCAAAAAAAAAAAAAAAAAAGGTTCAGTAATGGAAGAATTGGATAAAATTCATTTCAAACTCTCAATTCTGGATCAAACTGGTGTTAAATGAAGTTAATTTTGAGGGTTCTTCGGCAAAAGAGGCATGAAATTGATATAAGAACACAATCGAACCTGAAGATCTGGAATCGGTTTTACTTTCTCAACATATCGATAACGATCCGACGCTGCCGCAAGCGCAGCTCGCTCCTAACATAGAATAAAACAAACAATTTGATCACCAGTCATTCAATTTTGAAATCATTCAGACATATAGCCAAGAAGATCAGTACTTGTTGTTCTCTCTTGAGCTCTTGGGAAGGCTTGACCCACAGAAAGTACGCTAAGGTTCCGGCCACCACCCAAGATGCTAGGTTGCTTCCTCCACGGAGACCACCCATTGCGTTTCCGACGACCGATCTGGCATTGCCTAAATGTTTCTTCAATCCGGTAGCCATCGATAATCCTCTTAGGACTTTCAGATGTAAATTAGGGTTCCGTCGGGTAAAATAGAGGTTGATCTTTGAAACTTGAAATTTACCAATCGCTTCCTTGCAGGAATTTCGCGTGCGTGTTTTTTCTAAATATCTCGCGATATTACGAGGTTTCACAAATTTATTTAAATTATTATAAAAATGTAAAATATCTTTTTATACTATTTTATTCAAGCAACAAATCTCAAAAATACTAAAAAAAAAACTATATTTTTAGTACTTATACGATCGCACATATCGATATTATGGAATGGTCCTTAGTCCACGATGACCAAAATACTAAAAGAATGTATGCTTCATATATTATTATTATTATTATTATTATTATTATTATTATTATTATTAATGAAATCGATAATTATTCCACGATGGCACATTTGAAGAAAACTTTATGGCAAATGCTTTGAACTAAATTGCATCATATCAAGTAAGTGGTGTGCATCATCTCCTTTATTTAATTGTTTCTAATCGTAGTCGTGATTTTCTATTTGTGATTCGTGATATGTATTTTCAATGTTTTTTGAAATCCTTTTTCGATTGTATAACATGTTAGGTCAATGTTGTTCTATATCCCCCCTAACCAAACTTGTGACTTGTTGCTTCTTCTAACCATATTACATATTTTGAAAACCCTATCATACCTATGGAGACCGTTTGTGATATGTGGTTATTTAACATATTTTTAAGCTATGTTTTGATTACTAAAACGTTTTAGATCAATGTTGTCCTATTTCTTCTTAAACTAAACTACAATTTCATAATGTTTTTAGTCGGATGGATTATGTATCTTGAAAATCTAGTATATCTCTAAAGTCTATATAATAAACCATTGCCCGTTGGACGTAAGTTTTTTCATGGTTTCCAAAGTTATATTTTGACTATTAGCATTTAGGACTATTATAGGTGTATATCTTCTCAAACGAATGTATTTTACTGATTTTTCTTGTTAGATTATATATCGCGAAGACCTAACACATCTCTAAACCTAAACCTAAACCTTCGGAGAAGTGTTTTTTTTTTCATGATTTTTGAAGTTATGATTTGAAATTAGTTAAATCTAACATATCTATAAAATCTAATGTTAGAAAAGATGTATCCCAAAATATTAATAAATATCATTACATTCAAGATCGCCTTTATATATATATATATATATATATATATATATATATAGATATATATATATATATATATATATATAAATCCAGTTCACGACATGCATATCATTCTTTTAATAAATAATGGAAATATTTTTATTTTGTTATTTTGTTATTTTGTTATGACACTCCTCCCATTTTGATAATTTTGTGGTGAGCGAAACTCTTTAATACATATCATATTTAGCGTTTTTTAATCATTATAATCCCGGCACTTATGCAAAAGATTTATTTTACACATTATAACATCAACTCCTTAATTCAATTAGAATGAGATAATGAAAAGTTGATATCGGTAGTTAAATCTCTGTCAGGTGGTAGACCTCCGTCATATGAAAACACAAACATATAAATAGCAAAGATCTCAGAAAAATTGAGAGGATGCTTGAGGTGGTATATCTATGCCATCAACACCGGAAAGGAGGATAGAGGGCAAACATCAAACCCGAAGAAGTTTGTTCTTTCCGATCACATACATGACTTCAAATATGGGGGTAAACATCAGGATAGATATTGTCGGATTTTTTTGTTTTCTATTTTGATCCTTTATGTTGATATAATTCATCTTGTATACTTGTCTACTATTTTATTCATATATATTTTTTTATTGTTTAAATTGACCAACTCCACTTGCTTTTGTCTCATTTGCAGGCTCTTGAAGTCTTTCTGCATTTATTATGATTTATCATTGTATCTATCTTATTGTTCATTTTAACTTACTCTCTTCTTGTTCTTGTTTTTCCTTATTTACATGTCTTTGTTTTGCACATGACAAAGGTCACCTTTGTGACATAATCACTCTTCTACACAATTGTCGACATCTACCTCCCCTACTCCATAATAATAGGAATCCCGAGTGCAACGTTGTTGATAAATAACACAAACAAGGAAGGCCAAATATGAAACTTTTAACATATCAAACAATAATCCTATGATAGTAAAATAAAAAGAAATGTTTACCAATAACTTCCTTTCTTTATCAAACAATTTAAGTTAAAACATAAGATATAACATAAACACCATTCATTGTCACATAAAATTCGTATGCAAATGTCTCAAAGATAACTCATAATCCGAACTTGCCCCATGTCGTGCTACTGCTACACAAATTAACAAAAGAGGAGCAAGAATTACACCCTCATTATTCTACCTGAAATTACATCCCCAAAAGCAAACACAACAATCTAACACAAAGTAAACATGAACAAATACATCTCTTTCTTCGGGGGAAAATGGTCAGTAACACCTCACATTGTGGTCTTTACAGATACTTTCAACTCTTTTAACTCTCCAATCCTTTTTCTTTAATTTAGACCTATATTTCTTTCTCTTTTATTTACTAAACTAAGACGAAATTACTGTCATATCCCTGTTGGATCTGTTATACTTCATATGACTCTTAACAAGCTGCCCAGATGAAATAGCTGACATCAAAGACAACTCCCCAGCCAGCACTGACCCCGCTACAATTGTTGCCAAAAGTCTCGCATTTGCCCCTGGTGACTCTTTGCTTGCACCCTTCACTCCAAGTAAATTCAAACAAGCAGATTGAGATGCCAATTGGGTCCCACCTCCCACTGTCCCAACCTAAACCAAATTCCCAAAATACCCCTCAGTATAAAAATGGGTAGTATTTAAAAGATAGTGTAGAATGGTGAAAATACCTCAATGGAGGGCATAGTGACAGAAATGTGGAGGTCTTTTCCGGAATTGACAGGCTCCATCATTGTAATGCAATGAGAGCTTTCAATGTTTTGAGCAGGATCTTGACCTGTGGCTATAAAGACAGCTGAAACAATATTGGCTGCATGAGCATTGAAGCCACCAAGAGAACCTGCAATGGCTGAACCAGTAAGGTTCTTGAGCATGTTAAGCTCTACAAGAGCAGGCACTGTGGTTTTTAGCACCTTCTTCACCACATCTGCAGTGATCACTGACTCACAAACTACAGATTTTCCTCTCCCTTCGATCCAATTTACAGCGGATGGTTTTTTATCTGAGCAAAAGTTTCCTGTAAAAAAACCAACAAAATTAAAGAATCTTAATGAAAGATATGGTGTCAATGTTGCAAGTTTAGGAATTGAAGGGCTTACCAGATATACCAATTACTTCCATGTCTGGGAATTCGATTTGAAGAAAATCTAGAACGTTTTGGACGCCTTTTGACACCATGTTCATCCCCATTGCATCACCTGTGCTGCATGTGAATCTGATGTATAGATTTTTTCCGGCGATTGAGCATTGAATGCTTTGAAGCCGAGCAAATCTGCTTGATCTGATGTAAAAGAATGTAGAAATTAATCAAGATTCTCAAAACTAGTAGTCTATTACAAAGAAAGTAGAGCCATATATGGTAACAAGTTGGTGAAGTACTAAAGCAAGAAATGTAACCTTTTTTCAACCTAAATCTGATGGGATTGAAGGGTTTTTTCAATTTTTGTTGGATATGATGGCAATTTGTTTGATGTGGTTCAATTTGAAGATAGAAACTTCCAAAACAGTTCTTGTTGATGGTGATTGAAAAAGTAGTTTTCTATCTTAAAAAGGAAAGTTATCAAGAATGAAGAATTGAAGGTGGAAACACCTAAAAGAGGGATCTTACTTGTTAAAAACGATGCTTAATGCATCAAAATTGAGGGCGTCTTCCAAGAAGAACTTAAGGTGAGAAGCCCTTGCCGCCGATCCAAACCTAACAACAGGCGCCCTTGTCATCCCATCCTTTAACAGAATCGCCGTGGCTCCGCCTGATGCAAATATGGCTTTACAGCCTCTATTTGTGCTCGCAACCAAACATCCCTCCGTCGTAGCCATGGGCACCATGTACTCGCCACCATTCAACAACAAAGGTCCTGCGATTCCAACAGGTACCTGAACATAACCAATAGGCATCTCACAGCACTGCCCCAATATCGAATTGTAATCGAATCCTTCAAGCGGTAACCCTAATAACGGCCTCCCCGTTTTTCTCTCTAACGCCTCCCGTCGAATCGAAGCCGCTCTCCGGCAGTCCCCAAGCTTTGATTCGAGAGAATACGAAGGAATCGATCCAGAAACCACAGATTTCACAATATCTTCGTCCTTTTTAGACGTGAGAGTAGCAACCGTCGGTAAATGATCCATAATTCTAGGTTTAGGTTTAGAATGATGTTCGACGTCGTCTTCGAGAGTGAAGTTGTCCTCGTCCACACGTGAGGTGCCGATGAAGGATTGAACGAAATCGATGCCAAAGAACCCTAGAAGGTAGATGAAGGAGGCAATGAGGGAGACGATGGCTGCGAGTTCGGAGAGGGTAACGACGTGAAGAGGGGTAGAGGACCGGATTTTTTCCCGCCAACGGTGGAGGAGGAAGTAGGCGACGCAGAAGAAGAGAGTGAAGAAAATACCGTTTGTCAGGTATAGAGGAAGGGGCAATGCATCGGATGCTTTAGGGATAGGAGAAGTTGAGCGATGATCGACGACGGTGCCGTTGGAGGAAGATGATCGGTTGTTATTCTTATTGTTAGAAGTAGTCTTCCGGTGGCGGATTATGGGAGTGGTGGAGGGAGGTATTGGAGGAAGTCCACGGCGGAGATCCATGGAAATGGTAATGGTAGTGGTGGCGGTTGGGAGAAGGCGGCGTATGATCGGTGGTTTCGAGGGGGAATTTATACATGTGAATTGGATGCGGTGACGTGGGGTTGTAAAGCAATTGATATTTGACATTGGATGCAGCTGTCGCTTTCACTTGCTTTTGTACTACACGTGGCATGCATCCATTGATCTTGTTTTTTCCTTCTTGCTTAAGACAAAAATAAGGACGTGTTTTTTCAGCAGTCGATGGTTGATATCTAATAGTTGGTAGGTTCACGAAAGTTGGAAGCTAGTATCGGGTGGGGTGTTCATCTGGTAATTTTTTTGGTTTCGGATAATTTA